CTAAATTCAAGGTGGCCTGAGACCACGGTTTGCTGCCCTAAAACACTCTGTTCAGGCCATCTTGAAAATAAAGGTGTAGTTGGCACCTTGCTAGGTATAGAGACCCAGGGTAGCTATAGTGCAGCTACCAGGTATAGTACTTCAAGTTCCCTTTCCGTCAACCGCTCGATAGCCTCTACACACGCACAGCAATCCACAGCTTTGAAGTCTCATTCGTGCTTTGAACTTGTGTAGGTGTGTAAGAGGTATAGCAACATAGTATTTATACGGACCCAGGCTAGCTTCAGAAGAGCACTCCGATACTTCACTTACAGCGCTCCTTGAAGAGCATGAGTTGCTTGCGCATAGCCACCAGAAACAAAGGATCTTAGTCTTACTGGAAGTGGAATGAAACACCAGGACCTTCAGAATGACCTCTTTGGAGTCTCCAAGTGACCTCATTCGGGACTAAGTGACTAAGTGACCTCATTCTGGGATCTCGGACGGTCACTTTGAAGGTCCTGGTAGACACCAAATGATGTCAATGTGGATAGATTTGGCTACGGCCTAAAACATCGGATTCCATCGAAACCCCCCCCTGTGCAGAGGAAAAATCCGGGCAAAATGACACCGAACCCCTCAATTGCCAGGAAGCGCAGGTTTTTGTTTTGACATGGTTACCTCTGTGTGGGCAGAACAAGACATGAAGCAGATTTGACACGCGGCCGCAAGCAGCTGCGCGAGCTCATTTGCTTGCTTCGACGCGCAGTTGTCGAGAAAGGGAAGCGCTGGCTTTCGTTTTGCAGCTTCTCAGGTTCTAGTTGCTTGTTCTAAAAACAGTTGCTTGTTCTAAAAAACAGCCTTGCGTTGTTTGTTCTAAGAACAGCCAGGCTTGCTTGCTTTTTGCATGCTGATTTTCAGAAGTCCTTTGTATATCACCGGGTGCAGTCAGTGGTGTATCGATGGCCACACCAAACTGGATCCCGAAACACTGCACTCAAAAGATCTCTCTGCTGCATGGGCCCAAGAGTATCAGCAGCATGTTTTTCCATTCAGAGAGGTCACGAAAACTTCTTGGTAAACGAGCTTGTATAACTCACCCAGAAGTTGATGGGGAAGTCGATGTGCCAAGCCTTGACGCTGAGTTTCTTGGAAGTATCCAATACCTTCAAAACAACGCATTTTGTAATCATTACCGCAAGCACTCATAAGCAATCTCTGGCTCTTGACCATGCTGCTTTCAAACTACTGACCAGCAAAAACATGTGTATATATATATTGCCCATACTGCCGACATTTGCCTCAAACACTCCTTGTACGCCTGGTCCTAGAAACGGCTCCATGACTTGGCTTTGCGGATCGAGTGATTTATATTCTTCCGAACTAAGTGAATCCCCTTCTGGGGATTATTTTTGCAAATCGATGATGACCAAGGTCTGGTTCCAGGATAGCCCAGACGCGAAGGATCGCAACGTTGCAATGGAGATGTGCGCCGGGGCATAACTTGAGATCTTGGGTGGGTTTCTCCGGATTTCCACCCCTTGCTGGGTTGTGATTTGGAATACTGGATGGTGTTACACCGTTGATGAATCACCTCCCCTCTAGTCTCTCCATTGTCCAGGTCACTTGCTTCCTGTTCCCCAGCTAAGAACATGGACTGGCCTGGGACAGAGCGTCAGACAAACCTGCACAGCGCATGTTTTGATGCACGTGGGTCATGTTTCTGTTGCTGCTTGGGTTGTTGTCATGTCAAACATTGTAACATGGAAGTGCTTTTCGTGCTTCTGGCGGGTGTACACTTGACTTGTCGATGCTTGACTGTTCGAGCAAAACGAATCAGAGACATCTTCACCATCAGTCTTTGCTGTAGACTCTTAAGTAAGAAACCATCAACTCCACTGGGAAGGCACTGGCACGGCCCAAGACGCCTGGAGATCGCTGGCAGGTACTGGCAACTGGGCCGTTCCGACGGCGCGGAGGCACGGGAGACGGCCAAGGCCGGAGGTTCGAGGTGGTCGATGTGTCTTACACGGGGTCGAGTACAAGGTACTTACTCAACCACTCTGCTCATGTTGAGACTCACTTAGATTCATAGGTTGGAGCCGGTGACTCTTTTTCGCTTCTTGGTTTTGATGTTCACCAGAGGGCTTGGTGCAGTGTTTGATGCGACTGTTCCATTGTTTTTCTGGAAGCAAAGAGAATCGAAGCCTCACCAACAAGCCAGTGAGGTTTTGAGAAGTGCTGTTTTGCACGGGCTGCACGGGGAACAACGAATCTGTAGCTTCTGTCGTCTTCACGAACAGAAGCTGAGCGGCCGTGCGTCGTTGGGCTCGGGTCGGCAGTGGCCGCCAAGCACCAAGGAAGGCGCAAGACGGCGCAAGGAAGGAGGGCACCTGCTGGTGAGTCCTCTGCCATTTGTTTACATGCTCTATCCTACTCCGACTCCCCCCAAAGTTCAGAAAACTCGACCCTTGCCCGCTCATGGTGTGTGCAAATGCTTATTTTCACAAGATATCGTAACCAAGTTGCTTGGTCCGAAAGGCGATGTGTACATCCAGTTCGTTCTGATGTAACGTTTCACTGGGACAGTACGCATGGGAGGAAGCGGAGGAACATCAGCACAACCGCCGATTCTGCCGAAGCTTTCTTTGTTCATGGTGATTCCCCCTACTTGAAAGCCAAGAGCTTTTCTGCTCGTAGCTGATGGTTTGCCAGGGTGATCATCATGATCTTCATCAAAAAGCCGCTTTGCTCGCTGCTTTTCGGACGCGTCCGACTGAATTTTTGCATGCCGTCTCACGAATTCGTGAGAGGTGGAGCTTTTGCAAGACGTCCTGGCTGAGCCTTTTTTTGACCAGCTCCGTACCAAGCAGCAAGTTGGCTATGTGGCTCCTTGGAGAGCAGGAGGGAACTGGACATGACATGACGCATGAGTTGCCAAACTGCTTGTGTTGCTTTCGCTTTCGCATGCTTAGTGGAGTTGGTGTTGGCTCTGAAGGTAGTTTGCCGACCAGTCTTTTGCATGAGTGTCAACGATATGCAAGCTATGCAATGCAAAAATACTAGCACAGCAAGCACCGCTTCAAACAGCTGGGATAATTCACAGCGGGGATTGGTGATCCAACCACAAACACTGAGAAAAAACTGTTCCCAGTCATGGAATCCTCACAAATCCTTTTCACTAAGTCAATGAATCAATGGCCCGGGCCCGAACTCAGAAAACTAAAGTGATCGTTTTGATGAGTGTGTCTTAAGCTGTGGGTGTCAAGCTATGGCAGCTATGGGTGTCAAGCCATGGATGTTTATTAATATAGATGGCAGAAACCGACAGAAGAGTGGGGTTATAGACAGCTGCTTGGCTGCTCGCGCACGTTTGAGGCCAGTTGCGGTGCCCGCTGGACGCACCGTGTGCAAGGCTTTTCTGTGTGGCTTGTGTGTGGAGGCTTGGTTCAGTTTGGCGGCTTCAGAAGTTCTCGTCAAACACCACAGGTGAGTGCTAGAGTGGAATGGCCCCGCACACCAATTTCCGGAACAAGTCTATTTGCGCACGCATCGCATCGAACGAGGTCCGAGGGCGACGCGCCTGGAGCTGTGCGCAGCTGAGGTCCTCGAAGTTTGGCCCTGTGGAGATTTGCCAAAAGGTCGAGAGCTTCTTGGAAAGCTTTCAACAGACCTTGCAGGAGCGGAGCGGAGCGGGAGCCGGACTCGTCTGGAAGGCTGGGTTTCAGATTTCATCAAATGCCTCAGGTAGGAGCTGGGCATTGAACAGCTCAACTGCTGCATGGGTATGAGTATGAGCTTTTCAACACTGTGGTTTTGACACACGCAGAGATTTCTTTGCGGGCCGCTACAAGGGAACATAGAAGAGGTTTCACCCAGTGGTTGCATTGGTTGGCTAATTTTGAGGCATTTCCGCAGTAGGCCTCACAATTTTTTTTGCAACATAGCGGCTTTTTAGAATTTTGTGTTTGAACCATTTTAAGGACTTAATACTGGAAAAAGCATGCGTATCATTTTGATGAGGTCAAGGAATCAAGGAAGCTCTCCCCCACCCAGTGACATTGCTGAAGTCTGCCGTGGTCCCATCGCTCAACCAGAAATGGTGCCGACCAGAAATGGTGTCAACGTCTCTGTGGATACGGTACCCCCAGATGCCAAGGAGTGAAGGGAAGCCATGACCAAGCCAATTTTAATCACTTTTCCATTGCAAAGCTCCCAGTTGTTTCTGGGTAGATTGATGCGTCGCAGGAGATGAGTGAAGAGGACAGAGCGATGATTCAGCGTTCAAAGTCCGGGCTGGTGTATGTTTGGCCTGTCACCAAAGACATTTCTTAGCCTGGTATGAAATCCCTGAAGAAATGGATGGCAGAAAGAGGTCAAACAAGGACTGGGAACCAGACACACGCACATACAAGCACCGACATGTATGAGAACATACCCTACCAGGATCCACAGCCGGAAGAGAATCCTGACATGTCCCAACTCCTGGTTTTGTCTTGCAGCCCACCTGGCGGCCGGGAGGCACAAGGGCAACAATAGAATGTGTTCAACAATGGCAATCCCATAAGTTTTTCTTGCTCAATATACCAAATACCATCCAAATACCTGTGGCTTTTGGACACATTTGCCGTGTATTGTCCAGCTTGGGAGCAGACATCACAGAGGAGTTCCAGGGGCACGTGGAGGCAATGGCAGCAGCGAAGTTGGAGCCGGAGCGCTCCTTGAAAAGTGGAAACCTCAATGAAAAGAGTGTGTGAATGATGTGGAGAAGATATGGGAAGAACGTGAAAGGGAAGAGCTCAACCTTAAGAGGCTGGCCTTGTCAAGAAAAGGATCCCTTGCTGGTTGACGAGAGTGGGCGAAAGCTTTCAATGCTGAGCCACGGCTCAGCTTTGGCTCTCGCCAGGTCTGCAACAGTCTGCGTGGGCAGAGTTGCAAGAGAGGCCCGGTTTTAGTCGAAAAGACACCACAAACCTATGACATGTGTGCTATTTTGTCAAGAACTGTCAAAAAGAGAACACGCCTTGAAAGCGCCAAAATGTGTCCCCTACCCTGTCAGGAGCCACTGCTTTGACAGGACCGGGAGAGCTTTGGAGGGTCACCTGGGTCCAGCAACCAGCAAAGCCAACGAAACCAAGGAATGCAGTCAACAGGGCAGCTCCAGTTGCAGTTTCTTGGTAGATGATAGTTTTTGAATATCTGTACTGTATATCTTGTTCAGAGCGTTTGGTAATCAAATGTGGTTGAAAGGCCCTGAATGGATATCAGATTCGAACGTCCCCAACCACCCCAACCTGATGGAAGCGAAGCTCACCCCCAGCCGCAGCCTATTCAACAAGGAAGTCGTATCTTCAGATGAATCCTCTGAGTCCTCCTCGGATGGTGACACCCAAATCCGGCTGGGCAAAACTGACTGGGGCGCCCAAGACACCGTCATCCTACCAGGTCCTACCACCCGCTCGCCCTCCGACCACCTCTACCACCCTCCCGCAGGGCCTGGCTTGAGGCCTTGGCGCTCTTCGACCTGAAGATTCTTGGTTTTGGGGTTCGGATGGACCGCCGTGCCTGCAGACGGTGCGAACGAAGCACAGTACGGACGGTGGGCCAGGCAAGTAGGTCATGTCTTGGTGGCCGTTTTTTTGGGGTTGGAGCCTTTCATTGCTTTCATTGGTTTGTGGGTGGTTGGTTGCTTCTCAGTTCTCAGATGTTCTCAGTCTTATTTTGTTTGCTTGGGGAATCGAAAGGCGCGGGGTGAAGAACCTGTTTTGTTTGCAGGGCGTTTTGGGTGGTAAAATAGTTAGTTGGATGACCCGTTTGCTTCGTTGCTTTGATGGGCAGTTTCAATGGTTTCTATCATGACATGAGTCCGACTATGCTGCCCTAACATCAGGAAATCCGAGCTAGTCGACTTGCTGCGAGACTTGACCTCACCACGCCGGTCGCTGGGCTGAAGTTTTCTGGGGGACAGTGGCAACGGAGAACTAGGGATCAACAAGGCATGGTATATTTAAAGAAAGAAAAGCACACACACACACCCATACATATGGAGCGTTCGACACGTAGTGACACTGGACACTGTGACACCATGGGTTTTGGGGCCCTGCTGGGCTGCCCAAAGCTTCGGTGCCGGATGTGACACCGAGAGTTTGGTCAAACGTCAAACCCGTGGCGCCACCGTGGTTTTTGCTGTCTTTGGGAGAGGGTATATCATAGCCGCCAGCCACAAACTTTGGCCCAAAGATTTGGGGAGGCGGTCTCTCAACACATCGGTGCGAAACCCGTCCAAACCGATCTCCAAACCGAAGCTTTGAGGGGTTATGCGGCCCAAAACCAAAACCATCCAACCTGAAGGGGAGGGAGCCCCTCGCGCACCGGAGGCGCCTGCTGATCACGGCAGCCATCGGTGGAAAGGCCGTGGAACGGAGCGCGGCACTGGCTCAAGAAGCCTTCGCGCAGCGGTACCCGGCCGCACGTGACGTGGCTGGATGCGGGGAGGCGCGTGACCTTGTGGGTGGTGGAGACGTTCGAAACAAAAACATATTGCACTTATATAAAAGGCAGATACAGGCATATACGTAGACTCTTGAAGAAACGAAAAATAACCACACATGAAGAGGTCAATCTAATTGGGGGGTTTAATGAAGCAAGAGTCTACATGGTCATACATGGTCTACATTGATCAGGCATTGGCGCCTCAGAAAGGTATCAGTATGAGAGAGAGAGAGAGAGAGAGAACACTGGCTCAAAGCCACGGGGAACGTGAGCATCCCAGGTGCCAACTCGTTTCTTTCTTTCTTTAGGAGGACCAAGGTCGGCGCAATGGACGGTGCAACTGGGCAAGCAAGCTGTCAAACTGTTTTGTACATACTGTAGATCAGAGGCGAGGGATTCTCCTTTAAATAGTGATTTGGGTATCGGTATGGGGTATTAGTCCAATTTTTCCGTTGCGTAGACGTGAGGCGACGTGAGGTATCAACAACAATTATATTAGCCATGGTAAGTGTGCCACTGCCCGCATACTCCTTGCACACCAAGAAACCGAGGGCATACAAGCAAGTTCTGCAAACACCACCAGTGGAACACCACCCCCAGCAAATTGCAGGTGCCCAGCCCGTGTCCAAACCAGACTCCAGTATACCGTATACCAATTCCGCGTGTGTTTCTTCCACACCAACCAGTGCATGGGCGGGTTTGTGCGAGTTGACCGTGGCTGCTCTGCTCTCAGGTTGGGTGTCATCTCCTAGCGAACTCTTTGCTTCCAGCAAGTTCTTTACCTGAGGCGGGTCGAAGCGGATGCGGAAGCGGAATGCGCTGATCCTCGGGATGGCTGTGTGTCATCCCCGTCTAGTGGGGGGAGCAAGACTCTGGAACATCTCAGTGGGCAGATGAGGAGGGTCCATGTTGCATAGTGTTTCATCTGTCTGTGTGTGCCTTGAATTGAAGGACCCAGGTGCACCGGGCAGCGCAGCTTCAGGTGGTTTTTCCAAAGTTCCAGTTGCATGAGGAAGGTTGGAAGTGGCACCAAGCACCTGATAGAACCCGTGACGGCAAAGCTGAGAGCGTTTGGTCCATTTCTTTTGCAAAGCTGCGAGATCGGCGCTCAACGATCTGGGCGGCAGCAACGTTTGGCTGAGAAGCTGTGGCCCTGAAGATCACCCCAAAAGAGAGACCCTGGGCTTTGAGGCACAAGACCTGCAGTGTGGGATCTGATATGGGTGTGTATAATAGGAGGTACGACCCCCCTCCATCAGTGGGTTTTGGCTTGTTTTGGCCAATTTCCCTTCTTCCAGGTCTTCCATGCATCTCCCTAATTTAATGCATCCCAAAATATGGTTTCACAGGTGGGACTCATCCCCAGACCTTCGCCGGAACCCGGCGCCCGTTTCTGCCAAGAAAAGCCAGGCTGGAAGTGCCCAGGTCACCATGGCTGTGATTTGGACACCTGGGACCTTCCTGAGCGTTTTCCTTTGGGGCTCTCTGCCCCAGGCGTTTCACGCCGTCCGAGCGGCCCGGCTGGGCTGTACCCCCCAAAGAATCTGGAAGAACTCCCCGGAACGAGTCAGCCGCTTGGGGTTGATCTACTCACATGCGTCCAATCTGTATGAACCTATCACAGCCAGGTCGCCGAGCATGTGCGAGCTCGCTGGAGGCCTTCGAAGCTTCCGTCGGAGGGGATGCCCAAGCTTCCGAAATGGGCACAAGGACTCAGGCGGGTTTGAGAGACTGGAGCCCACGATAAAGAGCCCATCTTCACATGTCTCCACGTTTCTGTGTGATTTCAAGCTGCAGGCATCCTGTGTCCGCCCTACACGCTGCTTCCAAACCGCACATCATCCTGATGGCGCCACGTCACGCTGGCCGGCGCAACTGGCCCCGCGGAGGAAAAAGCGGGCGGAGGAAAAAGACACCGGGCGAGGGCTGCCGCGGATGGATCGGGAGGACGGAGTTGATTTGGAGATATTTGAGGTGTTTTTGATTTCGGGCAGAGGAGAGGCGCTGGATTCTGGACACCAAGATGGCCAGCGCATGGGTGGGACCACCATGAAATGAGCCAGCTATGTGATGCTTTTCATTTTCGAGTGATTTGTGGATGACACGACCAAGATCATCAAGAAAAGATTCTCAGACTTACAGTAAATTCCTTGGTGAGGAATCATGATACATTGATTTAATTGCCTTTACGGCACAACCACTGTTCTACTACTGAGGATTTTGCAGCACTACAAGACCAGCTCAACTTTTCTTTGAATGGTAGTGGAAGGCTAGGGTATGTCAACTTGCAACCAAGCTATGAAGCTGCCGATGGTCGATGGCGGCTTCCGGTGATCTCCAGGGACCGCGCGCGGGGTCGCGCAGGCCTCCGAGGGTGGAGATCCCTGCAAGGGCGACCTCCAGGACCCCCAGCTCGGTGGGTGGAAGGCGCTTCGCAGCTCAAAGCCGCTCAGTGAAGAGGTGATCTCATAATATGCCTGTAATTAGAATACTTTTTTTGGAGAGTGCTCTCCCACATGGCCTTTGTCGCCTCGACGGAAAAGACTCATCCTGTCACCTTCGTGCACCAGGGCTCGGGCACCGTCCGTTCCCACCCCGTCCGGCTCCGGTTCCTCCGTGGACTCCGAGCGAGGACTTTCAGGAGTGCAACACCCAGCCGTGCCATGCGGCCGGCAAGGCCGACTGGGCGGGGCGGCGATATGAGTCGATCGGGCATCGTCCTAGAGCACCCTGCTTGGAGAGTTCTCTACTCTGTTAACACACATTATGTTGTTGCTTATATAGGACATGACCTGTGATCATCTACTGTTCAATTAACGTCTCCTCCGTTAGAACACGAACATGTCCGTGCACAAAGCCTCCAAGTCCCATGATCATCAACATATCAAAGCAAAACCATCCCTTTGCAAGGCATTGAACTACTTATGCCAACCAGTTGCACCAAATCCCAAGGAATTCGATCTATACTAAGCCTACTCATGCCTACTCAGATCTCTCCAGGTTCGCTTCGGCCTCCGTTCCGGTGCGCTTCGGAGAGCCGCGGCGCCGGAACCGTCGTGGGTCATCGGAGCGGCCCCGTCAGCTGGCCTGTGCTTGGGCCGATTGGACTCGATGGAGTGCCTGCACCTCCCTGTGCAATGGGCATCAGGACGAGCGGAGCGCGGAGCGGCGAGCGGCTCAGCGCGGTTGTGCGCGGTGCTGTGCGCGGTGGTTGGTGCTTCATGGTTTTATCCCAAGGGGAAGTGGAGCTGAGAAAGACTGAAAGCGGGGCTAGTTGGCTGGCCATACTGGCTCGCGACTCTCTTGTTCTTTGATTCGACGCAAGAAGCTGTGCTACAGGGTGACATGACCCATATTTTCAGCTCGAAGAGCTTGTTTGGTCACGTGGTGTTCATTTTCCACATTGTCTGGTGCCAGGAAAGGAAGAGACAACTTCTACTCTACGCTTCGAATTTTTAATCGCCCCTTTGTAGGGACATTTGAGTCGATCTGACTGCATGCTGGGCAGTACTCTCAAAGAATTTGCGCACGGGTCCCAACAAGTTCTCATGACTTCGCGTGTCCTACTGGCTTCTGGACCAGTATCCATTCCGCGTTTTTGAATCTGCAGCTGTATTCAATCTCAGCTCATTTTTTTGATCATTGCCATTTATGTTTATTCTGATCTGATGATTAATTCTATGCCCAGCCCCATCTCAGATCTCACACCAGCTCTGAAGAGCTGGGAGGAGCGGCACCGGAACATCCTCACCTTGGCGCGCCACGGAGGATCCCCCTGCGATGGTGGGGTGACCCAGCCCACTTGGTGCTCATGACGTCGGGACCGATGACTGCGAGTGTGGATGACTCATGCATTCCGTGTTCCGCTCCTGCGAACCGAACCAATTCTGTTGACCCAACATGCTTCAGCCGGCGGTTTCCACCGCATCCGTCGCGGCTCCGAGGCCCGGAGAAGGTGGTCAGGCCGGTGGTCTCTCCCCGCCTCGGAGCGGCGAACGATGGACCGGGGGACGGACGGGTGATGGGAGCCAGGCCGGCCCTGCGGCGGTGGGAGCGCGTTTTTCCTTTTTTTGCCCAGTTGGGTGAATTCAGCATTTTTTGGGGTGAGATAGGGTGAAAGAATGTGAAAGAGCATGTTTGAGCTGTAGTAGACTGGTTGAGCAAGAACATCTTAATCGATGAACTAACTATAGGAACACCTCAGTCAGAAATCTAGCACTTCACATGTCGAACTTACTAAGAAGGCGCTGCACAGAATCGAAGCCATCCCAAAACAGAATGTCAAGTTCTTGTCAAAGAGATGCAGTATCGACATTGAAGACTTTGACATCTGATCAAAGTGTACTGAATCCCATTGGGGGGTCTTTCGCTTGACTCCGACGTGACACTGAAAGCCGCCCCAGTGGCGGCCACAACATCGATGGAGACACCGAAGAAGCAAGTCATGCATCATAAAGACGCATGTAAACTTCTGAAAGCAGGCAGAGACATGCCTCGAAGTCAGCCATTCTGAATTCTTCAGCATGTTCCATCCACGTTCTCAGCAAATCCTCCCACGCCTTCCCTTCTCAGCCACACGCTTACCCTCCAGAGCAATCGCGCACGACGCGATAAAGCAACCGCTTCTTGTGGCTTGCCATGGAGGAGGATGAGGCCAGGCTGGGGGCCGGGGTGTGTGGAAAGAAACGAACCAACCAACCTCAAAGGGAAACATTTGCAGCTCTTCAAACGGATCGTCATGTGTTCCATGTCGACTCCGGCTTAGGTCGTTCGACCATGATCGACCGTCTTCCACCGAGGTAGCGATCCCGTGTCCTGGCAGCTGGTCAGAGACTGGGCGGCAGACTGGGAATTCTGAAAAGCCTCGCATTATGGCACCAAACTGATTTCCATGTTCAACCCAACAAGTTGCAGGCAGAGTTTTCCCAAATCTGGTTAAGAATTGGTCTTTGTAGTCATAGAGTTGGAGACACTGCTAAAGGGTCTCCATGATTGTTTCGTATGCAGAAGAAAAAAAAAAATATATAGACCAATCGTTCTCAGAGATCTCACGTGCTCTTTTGAGTCAATTGATATGTTTTTCATTCTCACTGCGGTGGATTTGCTTAAACCTCGCTTCGCATTTCCGTTTGGAGCGCTGAATGGAAATCAAACGCCGTGGGAAACGAAGCATAAATATCATAAGTCAACAGAAGCCCCTGCTTTCCACCTCCAACACCTGCTCCAAAGATGCTCCCCTGTGGTCCCTGTGGTCCTTGATGCGGAAGCACCCATGAACACTCTCTAACCTTGACCAGTACTGGTTGAGAGGTAAAAGGGTGTAGCAAAAACCACGGTGACTTCTTTTCACCGGAGGTATGGAAGATGATCGAAGTCGCTTGCAACAACAGAGTTTCGTCATGCTTTATGATGTATCATAACGGATGGTATTGGCATTCAGGCGATCTACCACCTTTCAGTCCAGAATCCCTGACCTTTGGATCCGCGGTTTCGTGTCGCGATGCGGTCTTCCGGCGTGGCGAGGACAGCGATGATGAGGTTGAGGTGGGAGTCAATGGCACCGCCACCTCCGGAGGATATGCTCCAAGCCAGGCGGGGGCCCCAAGTGAGGCGCGGGTTCGTGCCGCCAATTCGTGTTTTTGCAGGGGGGCCGGGGGGACTTTGAGCTAGGGTGGCTCTCCGAAATATTACGTGGGCCTGGGGTGGGCCACAAACTCAAATTTCGCTTATAGTATATAGATGTTTATTATATTAATTAATTAATAGATGAGATGATTTATTCATGAAGGCAAGAAGGTCCCGCAGTTTTTGCCTGTTCAGGAGGTGCCATGACACCCATGCCCGGTGTTCTGAAAGCTAACAAATGGGTTTCTCGATGAGGCTTTGGCTCTTCTAGCCACCGCGCCCGGACATGATCATCGGCAGCGGAATTTGGCAGGTGCGCAAAACGCTGCGCCGCAGCGGACTTTTCTGACTTTTCTCAGTCAGGGAGTGATTGATTCTACTACCCTCAGTGAGCCTCAGAACTCTTGGCTCAAATACTGTTTTATGGCCAATCCCTACATAAAACATATAGATGGTATATTTTTCCAAGGGCCAGACTTCCAACCAACGGGAAAGCTGGACTAATTCCTTGTGCCCTTGGTCACTCATATGGGATGGTCTGAACATCGAAATGGAACGCCTCCCTCGATGAACATGGAAAAGAGGACACCCGACCGAAGAGGCTCTCCTCTATAAAAAAACGGGGAGTTGAAAGTGTGTACAGTACATTGCTCTCGTTTCCCAAACACCTCAATGACCAAGTCATCAGATTAACCACCAATGATTGTTGTCAAAGTAATATCAAGTATTCCGGATCAGAGGTCATCAATGACCAAGGAATGATCCCTTAATTACTGATGGTCATTGATGTCCTTTGATCCAAGCAATGATCCCGTTTGGATCTGTCCTATTATTATATACCTGTAACTGTAACAGTTGGTAAACACTTGTCCATCACTATTTTAGAGAAAGGCCTTCAATGGATGGATGGATGGATGGATGGATGTCTGGATGGATGGATGTCGGCCTGCAAAGCCTTTACCATCATCCTCCTGGGCCCACAGGGGGCGCTTGGGAAATCGGACGGACCGATGGATCGCCTCGAACCGCAGGATCGCCCAACGCTGGCGAGCTTTCCAAGTTCGCGGAGCTTCCCCCAGCAGGGCCAGCAGAGGTGCGTGAGATGAGATAAGTTTTCTATGTACTTTGCAGTACTCATTTTCAGTGTTCCTTGACCTTTTGTTCCAGAAACCATTCTCTTGTGAAGAAAACAGGGCTGGAAAAGAAAGAAGAGTGATGAGTTTCCACAGGCTGCTGCAGTTCGTTTCGTGGTTCGTTGACCAACTGCTTCACTTCGTGGTCGGACTGCTTGCATGCTGCAGGTCTTGGATTGCAGGGACCTCGATGAGGAAGAATCTGCGAGGGTCGATGAAGACAGTAGACTATAGACTCTTGAGTGACAAAACCCCCCATGCAATGCGCGTCTTGTCCCAACAGGGGACTTCGATGGGGACGGACCGCAATGGGAGGTGATGAAGAGGTTTACAGCCCAAACGGGGGGGTTTTGTTCAATCAAGGTTCTACATTCCTTGGTTGCAGCTGCAGCTGTTTGTTTGGTCCCGGTAGAAGGGGAGGGACTTGTCATGTTTGAAGAGTCTGGTCAATCTAGAATCTAGAAACACGCCCTTGTAGATCCTGATCTTAATATATATATATATATATGCAATATATATATACATATATATGTTTAATGATATGTTAAGCCACCTGCTATACTGATTGGATCGGATATTTTTTTCTAAGATCTGAGCGATTCGTCTTGTCATGTCTTTTGTTTGCAAGCACTGCATCGTAGAGCCCTTTGTTTGCAAGGGCATTGCAAGGGCAAAGCAACTCATCATTCAGTCAAAAGAGCAGCTCATTGTTTGCCTTGGTAGGGAATCCCTTTTTTCTGGGACACCTTGAAATCAAAAGTACCGTGTTCTTTTTTTTTGCGTCCGTTGAGCAAGTCCAACCAAATCTGGGGATTGGAATAACTAGTATGAAGTTTTGCGTATTACTGTTTCTAGCAGAGACGCATTGGTTCCCGTTACACCACTGCACACCACCGAAAAGCCCCGGTTCCAGTCCTTAATACGGGGGCTCCATCTCTCCGTGGGGTGCCGTTAAAGCCGGCATGGAGGGTCTACCAAGATCTTTCGGAGAAATTCGACCAACCCAATGCGAAGAGTATAGAATGATGGATGGTCTACTTGAGGCACGGGTGATAGGACCAATCTTGGGCACAACTTGGATCCGATCTTGGAGGATTCTGAGCAACGCAGTCGCGCCACGCCGGTCCGACTGCAGCCCGTTGTGGTTTTCGCTTTCGCACCACAAGTGTTGCACAGTCGTCGCGACGAAATCTGGCGCACAATGCCGTGCCTCGCGACCTTCTTTGTGTGGTGCCTCGCGTCTGCGGCGATAGCTGAGGCGACCGAGAAGGGCCAGAGGAACACAACTGGCAATGCATGTTTGATCGCTTAAGGAGACATAGAAAACTGGTAGAGAGCCTGCAGGACAAGACCTGATCAGGTCCTGAAACTCTGGACAGCCCGACCCTTTTAACCCTTCATCACCATGTCTTGATGGGTAATATATCCTTGTTTAAACGCCGTCGGGGTGAGCGAACCTGGATGGAGAACATGAGGGGCGACCATTGAGTATATATTTGTGTGGGATGCAACCAGTTACTTCACACGCAATCAGTTTCTTCATGTTTCTTCATGAGCAGATAACATGCGGAGAGGGACATGCGTCCGCTGACCGGGATGGTCGCTGAGGGCCGGAGTTCCAAGAATTCGAGGCACACCACTGTAGTTGGTGTCTCACTGTAGCTCCGATATACCCAAGATGATATATGATCTTGTCACTCATATAATTGCTGATATATATATATATATATACATGGATATGATATAGCGATATACTGCCATGACCCATTATATTCAAGAGACGATCACACGTGAGAATCTGCCAATCAGAGGAGATCATCCGGATCCCTTTGAAGAAGGACAGATCTTCAGCCACTCTCCGCTCTGGCCCGTACCTGGGCGTATGATGTGGAAAAGACAGCCCAGAGATATAAGCAGTTGTTTGTGGGAGGTCAATCTCGGTACATAGATGGCCTTGCAAAGAGAAAGAGCTCCCCAACAGCCCAAACGACCGCCAAACGACCGGGCGCCCCACCCGAGGGTGGTGAACATGAACATGTCAGTCAAACAACGACAAACAACGACAAACAGAAACGCCCACTGAACGGTCGGAGCGAAGAGACAGGTCCACCTCGGCTGCCCAGGAACCTGGGCGCAGAGTCGTCCAGTGGCGGTACAGCAGAGCTGTCCTTGCAGAACCAGCCGCCTGGGCACACCAGTTTCGTGGGTGTTGACCGTCCACGGTGACCGTCCACTGACTGACATCAAGCATCGACCGAGATCTGAAACTGGGATCTCAGATCAGCTCGATTTGTGTGCCCCCAAAACGGTCCCGATTTCATCTCAGAGGACGACTGTCGAGCTGTCGAAACGGAGCACTGCTGTCGATCAACTTCATCCGGAACCGGCGGAGTTTCTAACTTTACACCGGTGGGTTGGTCTCAGACAGTCTCAGAAAGGATAGTAGTGGTTAGCAAAGGTGTTGGTGAATTCAAATGGCGAGGGGCCAGGCCCCATCCTGGACTTTTTTGAGAAATGCCACCTTCAAATGGCCCCAGTGGCTTTCCTTCAAAAAGAATCCGCCCACAAATGCTCCAGAAACTTGATTTTCAAAGTGCAAAAGGGCACAGGGGAATAAAATGAGGAAGCACGAACTACCTTCAGTGGGTGAGTAGACAGAGTTTGCTGAGTTTACCTTGAACACATGGAAGTGTCTTCCTGGGTTCCCTGAACCTTTGCCACTAGTTGCCAATGCGAAGTCTTGCGAACCATGGAGTTTTCGTAGCTCCTGTTGATCTTCCTCTTCCCTTCTCTGGACACTCAGGTTGAATGCACAGTACGCAGGCGGCCTCCCCCTGTCGTCTCGCAGGAGTTTTTACTCCTTGCACGAAAAAGCGCCGAAGCACCGGAATCGTGCGGAGTGTGGCCCAGTGTGGCTACGTCATGCTATTTTGAATGAAGCTTCTTGATGCAATCCAAAAGGGAATCCACAACGGATGTTTAGCTTCCTCGGAGAGGTCCCACCAATGGCTCTAGAGATTCAGATCGGTGCAAGGTCCCGAGCTCCGCAAAGCGACGGTCCGACACGACACGCTTCGGGCCGGTTGCTCGTTTCGGCCTCTCCGTCCGTTCCAGCGCCGCTTGGGCTCAACGGCAGACCGTCTGCGAAACGTGGACGGACACGGACAACGACCCGCCACGTTCACCGAGCGAGCAGCCAGACGGCCGTTTTTTTCTGTTGAGAGGCGAGTCCTGTACGGAAGGGGAAGGGGAATTAGGAGAACTCTACTCTACCCTTACCCACATAAAGAGAAATAGACCCTTTGGACGATGGCTTCTAGTTCCAGGTGGGTGTGATGGTTTGGATTGACCTTGCCCGGGTTGAACTATGGGTGTGGGACATTGAAAGAATTGGTATATTCTGGTCCTGGTGCGCAAGTGTATTGAGCTTCCAAAGGACGACTAGAAGCAAAGTAGCAAGCGGAGTGAACGGGCTCAGCAATTTGGATTTGTATGAGCTTCACGATAGAACATGATGCAGCGCTTGATTCTTGTCCTTCTCTGAAGCAACTACTGGTCGTATTTCTTTCCACACGTGTTTCATGATGTTGGTCGAGTTGGCTCGGGTCAACTTCAGCTCCACTTCTTGAATAAGAGAGAGAGAGGAGTCCTGGAGGTAACCTTTGGGTGTGCAAGATTTGTGTCCGAGGTGTGCAGACACTCCAGACGACAGGGTGTGGTTTTTTCCAGTGCAACCAACTGGGTGCGTACGACGAGTGGAGTGAGGGTGAAAGACACTGTGTCCGTCAGACTCGGTGCCCTGGGAGCCGAAGAAAGATTGACGTTGCCAAGGCGACTTCTTGGGCGATTCCAAGAGGGATGGTGTGTTGCCAAGCCTGACTTGACTGACCCATGTGGCCGGGACAACCCTGTCTTTGTCCACTCGGCAGGACCATGTCGCAGAGGGTGGTCGTGGTCGGTGGAGGAATCGCCACTGGGCCGCAGATGGTGCACCCTGAGCGAAATGATATTATTTGAATATGGTAAACCATACGCACATGTAGAACTCTATGCCTCATAGCTGTCATAGCTCTGGTTCCATGCTGATCCTTTTCAAGGATTCGAAAGGTCTTGGGCTTCGGAAGAGTTTTGTGAAGGGGAGACGCATCAAAATAGAAATAAAAATGCATCAAAAAATAAACAAGAATGCATCAAAAAATAAATAAAAATGCATTAAAAAAAACATAGAAACAAACGAGCAAAGGAAGGAAGGAAAGAACGAGGCAAGAAAGGAAGAGGAAGCAAGGAAGGAAGGAAGGAAGGAAGGAAGGGCTAGCGGGAGGAAGGAAGGAAGGAAGGAAGGAAGGTAGGTAGGTAGGCAGGTAGGTAGAAACGAAGCAAGGAAGCAAGGAAGGAAGGAAGGGCTAGCGGGAAGGAAGGAAGGAAGGAAGGAAGGAAGGAAGGAAGGCTGTGAAATTGAAATGCGATGTTGCAAAGCTTTGTCCAGATGCCCAGCACAGAGACCATCAAAGGAAGATTCATTGGGGAAACTTCATGATATTTGTTTTTTTGGTCGTGCCAAGTTACATTGCGGGGGAGGCGCTGCGCCCTCCCCCGCGCCCCTCCCGCTTTTAATTGTTGAGCGTGTTCATTTCATTCATTTCATTTGTTCATTGACTCATTCATCCTTTCTT